AAAAAGGATTGTGATCCAAGACCTATGCAGACGGCAGGCAGCGAGGTCTGAAGCTACTAGGTAAAATGTGGGGCTGGGTTTATTGTTGAGTAACGACATTTTACGGTGAAATGTAATAAAACAAAATGAAGTTTATATTCGACAAAAGATTATCAAACGAAGAGAATATTGTGATTTGAAGACGTGTTCTACCATTTAATGAGTTTGCTAATTATGCTGGTTTAGTGGAAAGAGCATGAACAAGTAGGCATAATTAGCAGAATGTTAGCCACTTCGCATCTCGGTATTTTGCTGGGAAAATTAGCTAAGCGTAACTGCAAACAACTCGCATTTGAGTAATTCAATTATAACCATGTCCTTTTTTGAATTATGTCAGTTTAGAAACACTCATATACACCAAAAGATAAAAATTGAATGTTGCTTAAGCCTGATGCATTGGGAAATGCTAGAAGAAGTCGAGTTATTGAAGCGCTGTGCAAATATCAAGAAAAACGAAGTAGATGAAGCATTGTGCTGAATTTAACAGATGTCTCACAATTACATAATCTCTCTTCAAATTTTCCTTCTGATTTTTTAGGTTATATGCATGACTTGAGAAACTTGTTATTGCTTGAAACGTTTCAGTAGTGAATCATCCGAAGTAGGTCGCCTTTAATCTTTGTGAATGACTAAGTCCTTTACGTCGTTCCACTTCATTTTTTCTTATAATAATAAAATGTAAGAGTTTAATCTTGCAATGCATTGTTTGTAGCTGAAAATTTCCTTCTAGGCAGGTCCTCAATGTGTGTTGTCCTGTGCCAAAGAGCATAGAGTGCTACCTACTCAAGGGTTTACTTGTTGCCTAGCAATGGATGGTGTCAACATACTCGCCTCTGGCTTTGAAATGGATGAAAAGGTATAGTACTAGTTAGCACTGCGTACTTTATCGAGTTAAAAAACCCTTCATTTCTTCAACATTGGATAATCTTATTCTTGTGCTATAGGTTTCAAGTTCTATCGATTTTTCACTGTACTGACTTCCCGCTGCATTAGTTGTTTGTTCCACAATGTAACCAACTTGAATTTGCTTCTGGTTATAGATCTTGCTACATACATCTAGAAGAAAATCTGGTGGAAATATCGTTTTTTATTGATGAGGCGACTTAGATTTAAAACCTTATAATAATGTCATTTGTTAGGATGATTTTGTAACACGGTGCTTCAAGTTATGGTACTTAATGATCATTTAAAGTTTAAGTTATCGCGCTGCCTCCCAAAATTGATGCTCCTTGTGGTTGTACATCTCATCTATTGCCTATCCAAGACAAAAGCCATCTGCGTGACTCCATCTGTAGCAGCTTTTTAAAACCCGATGACTTCCTTTCTTAGTTGGCAGGAAAATTTGAGATTTAAACACGGAAATTCTTTCCAAGAGTGCAATGTGTTCAGAAGAAGTGAAGCTAATTACACGTATATGTTTCCTCAGCTTTTGTGATACTGTCATGGGCTCTTACCAGTTACAACCCTGGTTACTTTAGTAACTTTACATTCTTGCTTTTGTGAGAAGCTGGAAAAGCTTTATTTGGGATCACTAAAAGCTTTCATCTGCAAAGTTAATTTAAGCCGATGCATTTAGTTGGTTTAAAGTTAAAAAGTTATGATAATGTTTACTTTAGTCTGTACCATGGTATTTCTTAGGTACATCTTCTTTTCAATTCATTCGCTTTCAATGTCAGCATTTGTAACGTGTTGCCCCCAACTTTTATGTTATAACATTTTTTCGATTGTGTCTGCGAGTGACTTGTAGGCTGATATCGCAAAGATGGTTACTTCAATGGGAGGATTTTTGCATGCAAAAACATCGTCAGACGTCAGTTTTGTTATCGTGAAGAATGTTTTGGCTCAAAAATACAAGGTTCTTATTCTTCTGTTTATTTTTCTCAAGCGATGAACTTTAATTCTTGTACAGGACAAGTTTGATTAAGTTATAGGAATGTCATTACCAATTGAAGGTCTAGTTTATTACTTTATTTATGAGATTAAAACAGAGGAACTCATGATATAACTCAAATAAAAAAGCCGTACTTGAAAAAAAGTTATCTGTGAATGACGGGATTAAAAAAATGTTATCTATTTTTTAGCATCATTTAACTTGAAATATTTCTATATTCGTTCCTTTAGGATGTTGCCATTTTCCTTTTCTTCTTATCCTGTTTCCTGCGAAGGTGTCATTCATGACATATCGTTTGCTCAATAATAATATGATGTATCATTGAAGTAATGATATATTGCTTGTTGCACGAGCAGTTAGTTACCAGTAACTGGTAAGTTTAGAAAGAAGGGCTGTATTTTATCTAGGATATTCACACTTTAGGCTATAGCTCCAATACGGTATACTAGTTTTATAGTCTTTCTTCATTTACTAAACTTCAATTCATAAATTAGTTGTACTAATAGAATTTAATTTCATTGGAGTTTATTGCACACAATGAGAGAGAAGCAGTTCATCTTGATTTTTTCATGATTTGAGTCCTTTAATAGTTTCATCCCTTCAATATACGAACTTGTAATGTTTCTTTTTCTGCTCTTTCAAACTTCTGCAGTGGGCTTTATACACTCTTAAAAAACCAATTGTCACCATCAATTGGCTTCTTCAATGTTGGAAAGAGCACCGTGTAGTTCCTCAGGAGTCCTACAGGGTTCTCCCTTTTTCTGGATTGACTATATGTGTTAGTGGAATGCCTCAAGGTTGGTACTTTTGTTGTTTGATTTATTTTTATCTTACAACTAGAAAATATGAGCACATATATTCTAAGGTGGATTATTTTGATTTTTAGATGAGCGTAAAGAAGTGGAGAGGCTTGTCATGCAAAATGGTGGCAAATATTCAGCTGAGATGACCAAGAAATCCACACATTTGATCTGTGATATATCCTCTTGTGCTTTCTTTGTTGTTTTGAATATCAATTTACATACTGGCACGGCGATTTTACCAAACCTGTTAACAGAATCCTGGCCTAATTTTTTTCTCTATGCTGTAACTTCTCTATGGAAGTACATGGTTTCATTCACTGTCTCTGTTGCATGTGATTTACGTTCTTTCATGTAGTTTTTGCATTGGACAAAGTATTCTCGTTTTGCCTTCAAGTTGTTTCTGCTGTGTGGCTCTCAGCAGACAGATTCAAATGGTTCCATTTTTGTTTTTACAAAATTGACTTTGGTCTGTAATGCATTAGGTACATACTGTTAGTTTTACTGGCTAGAGACATTTACCATTTATGCTTTCAGTGCTTCAAGTTGTTTTTAGTTTGTGACTCCTTCAGGGGATAGATACAAATGTTCTCATTATTTCTCTTCACAAATTTGACTTTGCTCTGTCGTGCATTAGGTACTTACTGTTGGTTTTACTGTCTAGAGACATTTGATATTTATGCTTTCAGTGCTTTATTCCCAGCATATTATCTTGAACATTGTAACCTTAATTTTTCCGCACACTCCTGAAGGTGACAAATATAAGGTTGCAAAACGATGGGGATGTATACACATTGTGAGCAAGAAATGGTTTCACCAATCGATTGCCAGAAGAGGTAAAATCATGCATATATTGGCTTTGGTGTTTGTGCTCTTATTTTCTACTATATAGTCTACTGAGAGTAGTTTTGCCATGATTCCTGACTTTGTTCTTTTTTTGTTTGTCCTCATGACTTTTTTCGGTGTTTTTCCTTTGCCACTTGGATGAATAGCATGTCTTAATGAGGAGTCCTATCCCGTCCAAAGTAATTTGGCATCTTCAGTGAGTAGTTTAAAGACGGTGGAGAAAAACATTAACGGTAAAGGTATCAGAAGTTCGCATTTCACCTCCTCCTATATGGCATCTGCTTCGGATTCCGAAACCAATTTTTCTGCTCCGGATATGGAATATGATCTTGAAATTCCCCTGCCAAATGTCCATCCTACTTGTTTAGAGGTTCCTCCCTTACCTGCAGAGGGGAGTGAACCACCTGCCGAAAAGCTGAAAAATGATTCAGATTTTGCTCACTGCATTGCTGATGATTCTCAAAGTGAGAATGACAACCTATACTTGTCTGAGTGCAGAATCATGCTTGTAGGCTTTGAGACTTCTGAATTACGGAAGGTAGTTGACATGGTTCGCCAGGGAGGTGGTTCTCGTTACATGTCCTTCAGTGAGAAATTGACGCACGTCGTAGTTGGAAACCCATCAGACATGTAAGATTTTGAGCATATACACATTAACTACTTGTTTGAGTGTATCATAGTACAGAAGCTTGTAACATCTATACTTGAGAGGTGAAATCCTTGATCGTAAATCAGGCATATTACTCACTATTTGGATCTAACTTGGTAAATGTTTCTGCAGTGAAATCAAGGAAGCAAGGAATCTTGCATCTTTTGGAGTCATTTACATTGTTAAAACAGCATGGCTTGACGAATGTACCCGCAAAAAGAAAGAAGTTCCCGTACTTCAGAGCCACATTCCTTATGATTTGCTTCTTCCCAAAGGTGCAAAAATTTCGTTACACCTATTTATTCCTTGGGAAAAAAAGCATTTATTTTGGTTTTTATCTCAGTTATGCTGCATACGTTTTTGAAACTCCATTTAGCAGTTTTAACGGTTTTTCCTCCTTTAACTTAATCATAGATCCTGTGATCTTCGATAAAACAACTTCAACGAGTATGAAGAGTGTGAAACAGGGAAAACCGGCGACTTCTCAGCCTGTGGATGATAACATCCTAGAGAACAAGAAATCTCAATATGAAGGTTTATTTGGTGAGAGTAAAGAATAATAATATTGATTAATGCACGCAAATTCCCAGTACGTAGTACTCAAAGTTGGTAAACTCTTTAGGCCTGAAAGAAGAGATAAAGTTGCAAAGTGGAGTGAGCAATGGAATTAAGCATGTAAAATCTCCAACTGTATTCAAAGGGAAGCTGTTCCGTTTTTCAAGTTCTTTTCCTGAAGAACAAGTAAGCAGTTCTGTCCAATTTATTTTCAAAGTAGCATTATTGTCTAGTTAACATTTTGTTTTGTCCAATCAACGTGACAAGCCTGCTTTTATGGCCTTGGATGGAATTTGAAATATTATGTTTTTCCCAAGGCCTTTAACATGATTTTTCTTTTTTAAATTCCCTTTGGTAGCCTTTTTTTTTTTTATATATTGTTTGACTTCAATGTAAGTTTCTCTTCAGAAACCCGAAATAGTGCTGTGGGTTAATGGAGGTGGTGGAGTTGTAGCAGATAGAAATGAAACGAACGTGCACTTCATTGTGGAGCGTCACGGTGTGCCGTGCCTGACCAAAACCATCAGGAGTACCTACGTTACCCCTCATTGGATTCATTCTTGCCTCGAGGTATCTATGTATTACTGAATCCCGTTTCTATCTAATTGATTCACTTGATAGATCACATGAATTCTTTTTGGAGCAACCTGCTTATATATGGGGAAATAACAATCTGAACTGTATGCTATTAATTAGTTTGGAGAAAGTACTGCTTTTTATTTATTTATTTTCTTTAATAAGTCCAAGTCTTAATGTTTACCTATAGTGATTTCTTCATGCCAAAAGGTTTAATTTTTATGAATGTGTAAATTTGGGAACCTTGAATTCTAATGGAGTTTAATTTATTATTGAAGGATGGTTGTTTGCTGGATGTTAGCAGCCACATTCTCTATTCTCCACTGTCGTGTGAAATTCCTTTACCTGGATTTGAAGGATATCGCGTCTGTGTTTCACGATACGATACGAAAGAAAAGCAGCTCCTGAGAAATTTGTGCTATGTTCTTGGAGGGAAGTTCACTGAAAAACTGAACAAGAAAGTCACTCATTTATTATGTAAATTTGCCGATGGTGATAAATATGAAGCCGCTAGTAGATGGGGAGTACATATAGTTACAGCTGAGTGGATATATGAATGCGCTATGCAGGTCAGCATATTTTATTGTCCCTTTCTGAAATCTGTTTCTGTCGTACTTCGTCTTTTTTTCCCTCTTCTGAACTCTGCTGCTGTTGATACCGAGACAGAACAAAGTTGTAGATTTGAAAAGGTTTTACCCTAAAGAACTAACCTCTCAAGAGCGGCAATCAGGATTAAACTCGCTGAGTCAGTATCCTACAGAGTCGTTTAGTATGCCATCTGGGAACGATGTCTCGCAATATCCGGACCAGTGGCAGCACCTGAAAAATATGCAAACAGATCCTTCAACAAGATGTATGGCTAGAGATAATAAAGAATTCCCAAACGGTAGTATAAAAAAGGCAAGATTGTCAGAAAATAGTAGTATAAACCACCAGCTATCCGACGACGCCACTACTCCATGTTCTGTCAATGTCAAGGATTCTACAGACGCCATTGTAAATGGAAATACTACGGAAGCTACTCCTGTAGTTCCCGATGTCGCTGCAGCTATCGAGGATTTTTTGGAGCAAACGAGCAAGGTAAATTCTGATGTCTTATTTTATTTTTTCTAATATTGTAAGGTTGCTAGATAATTTTTCGTCATATTTTAACTGGCAATCTCTGATTAGATTCAAGAATGGAAGTCTCAGGAAAAGAGTGATTGCCATGAAAATGTATGCTTCTATTTCTTTTGAATTCAGACCTTTATTAAGTCAAAATTATTGCCACTGAAGTTTGTCCTTGAATACGACCAGTTTATGCCGTCTAATTCTTCAATGCTTGGTCAAAGGCATGCTGATCCGCAGTCTTTTCCGGGGCCATCTAAGCAATGGATGAACAGGTTTTGTTAGCTTTCTTTCATCGTGATAATATTTCGCCAGTTTGTTCTGGTTTGCACCAAGAAACATGCGGTCCCCTTCCCCGTTTTATTGCAAATAGTTAGCAAATTTTCGTATCCCGTCTGTAACTTTTTATCTTTGTCAAGCATTGTATTTGTCGTTATCTTTATCCAACTCAAATGGCTAGTTTTTCGTTATTTCAGGGTAGACAGAAAAGACGATAGCCCCCCTGCCGATGCAGCAGCAGCTAAAGGACTCTATGATAATTTTAGCGAAACGCAAACTGATTCTCAGGTTTCTCTTTTTTCCCCCTCAATTGTCGACTGAAATCTAATCCATTATGCACCTTAGTTTAGAAGTATTTATGTTGATTTCCGTATTTTGATTCGTTTGCTTGCTCGTGGTTACGTGCAGGTGGTTGGTTACGAAGAAGATTTATCTGGTAGACAAATGATCATTGATAGAGTGCGTACAAGGAGCAGCATGACTTGAACTCGTAAATCAATTATTTGAATACTCGAAGCTCTAATCGATAAGCAGCAACTTCACACATCCCCACAAACGAGAGGAAAACCGAAGATAAAAATCTAATTTAAAAGGGTAAAAAAAAATTGTCCGTAAATTAGCTATTTCCTAAAATTTGGATCAAACATTGTTTGTATAATGTTTACATATTGAAAAAGTAGTACTAGAAAATGTAACACTTTGTAATTTTACTATTGTCATTTGGTTGCACGGCTTAAAAATTTGAAGTTTTTAATATTCCTGCAGTATCAAAACAATTTTTAGTTTTTTTCGTGCAAATATTATATATTTGTGTAGGATTTAATTTTTTGTTACGGTTGTTGACTTGTAGTAAGTAGTAGCTGTTGTAACATTTCGTAAAAATAGAATTAAAAGTAACGAAAATTTAATTCGGTTTGGATTATGTTGCACCTTTAATCCATGAGAATTTACAAAAATGAATATTCATTATTTTGGCTTTACAAGTACAAAATCATGACTTAATCAATAAACTAAAAACTTTCTTTTTATTACTCAAAACTAATGGCTCTAGTGAGTCTTCTTTCCGCACAGTTGAACTCTCCTTGGCGGCACAGTTGAACTCTCCTTGGCGGATCGTTTTCTTCTCAAGAAGCCATTAGAAAGACAAAGTTCTAATACAAGCTCTAATTTGATTTTGATAACTCTCCTTGACGGATCGTTTTCTTCTCAAGAAGCCATAAGAAAGACAAAGCTATAATACAAGTTCTGATTTGATTTTGATTTTGTTGTGTGACATATAACTATTATATACTATTGAAAATCTAAAACATAATTTGAGCAAACCGCTCTCTTAAACGTAACTTAATATTAAAACCTGACAAATATGCATATGTATAGTAAGAGATGCAGCCAAGTAATGATTATCACTGTGTCTAACATACTTTTGATCTAATAACTAGTATCCACCTATTAGAATGATCTTATAAAACATTTAGATATTTTTCTAAAATAAATTTATAATTAGTTTCTAGAAATTGAAAATCCAACTTCTAGAAGACTTGATCTTGTACTCTTAACTCCAATATTTATAATATGTATATAATTATTTCTCAACTTCAACTAATTATGGACTAAATCACCTCACCTGGTAATCGTTTGCAAGTATTTTTCACATTTTTTACTACGTTTCAATGAGGGTTGGTACCTTGTGAGCACCAGGTCTGGGTCCGCTACCTTAACGGGCCAAGGGATGAGGACCCTGGGGCGAAGGATTTCGCCTTTTGGTGCCAGTAAAATTGTTTTCGCATCTCATCAAGAAAGCATAATCAAAGTGGAAGCTTTCAAAGCAACAACTAGTTATTATCTTAGCATAAATTATCTTAGCATATCGTGGAATTGTTCACTGGACCTCAAGTCCTCAACTAATCCAATTATCCAATCGAATTATCACAAGACTACATAATCTTATCTTGATTAATTTTATCTCCGCAACCAAACAAAGACTTAAGGTTTAAAGGGCATTTCATCATCAATGAAACAAATAAATATAAGTTATCTAAAAAACCTTGCAAAATAAGTCAATTCCTTTACATGCCCACAACTCATGTACCAACAAAGTAGTGTAATAACATTAAAATCACCCTCCCCACTAAATGAAAGAACAAAACTTTCTTACAACATAATAATAATTTGTTCGATTGATTTTCCTCTATAGTTGTTTGTAGAAGAGAAGGTAGGCTTGATCGTGTAGCACTTTGTTCGTGCTTATTGCAGAAAGAGACGAGTCATCGAACCGGACCCACTGCCCGTTATGGTAACGCACATCTGCAGTATAGTGACCTTTCGAAGCTTCTCTCCCATGATGCGTTACTGTCGAAACTAGCTCGTATTTTCGGCCCTGCGCAGTTAAATAAAAACAAAATCTTTAAAAAAAATTGCAATTTGCATTCTTGTCGCATTTAGTTATATAATTTCAACACAAAAGACAAGTTGCAAAAAAATATTAAAAAAAATTTCGTATTTTCGGCCCTGCATATTTAAATAGAAAAAAAAAATCACATTTCTTCTACTGATTAGTTTTACGCGTCACATAAGCTAGTGCGTAGAAATTATTATTGCAGTTAATTAACTAAAAATTCACGAAGCAATAGTGGAAAAAAATGCCGGGAATTATTACCTCCATAGTAGAAGAAACAAGCAAATCACGGCTTAAAACGAGTTCGAGAGGGAAGTACACAGCCTTATGCAATTTAGTGCTTCCATTTCTGCCGTAGCCAAAACGCTTCAAATGTAAAATCATTATCTTCGGAAGTGCTTGCACATTCACCGATTTCTTTGCAGCAACAACCCCAACCTAAAAATTGCGCACACATAAACAGAGATAAATGTTTTACGATGCAACAAGATAAAAATTTATCAAAACCATATACATAAAAATTACGTCGACTTACCTTTCCTGCAGTAGGTGCTCTGTACTCATCGAGTGTTTCCGGGGCAGAAAAGAAACGAAGAGCATCTTCAACAGTTCGAATTACATCATAAGAAATATCTAAATGCAGCAAAAGAAACGGCTGCACAGTGGCAGAGGCTTTATTCCCTGTCCATAAGAAAAATAATTATTAAAATCACAATTAAGTCGACTGGTAATAAAAAAAAAAATGTTGAAAACGAGAGACTTTTCAATCACCAAGAACCCACCTTTTGCCTTCACAACACTTCGCAATTGCCCACCAAAAATCGAGCTCAGTTCCGAAGGGACAAAACTCTGTGTTCTTGTCACAGCAGATTTATTCTTCGGACCCACTGTTTCCCACTCATCGCCTTCCGATGTAGAAACCAGAGAATTTTTACCATCCAAGTTCGACTGACCTTCAAGCTTTAGCAATTCATCGTGCATTTGATCCATAACAAAACTTAGAAACTCTTGCGCATCCTCTTGTCTGTCAATAAAAGAGTAATAAATGTGATCATTTTAGCTTCAATAAATAAACATAATTACGAAAATACCTACAGTTGTGGAACTGTTCAACGGGACCCCATCTGAAACGAAAAACAACGAAAGATGGATTAAAAAAAAAACGAACCTTGGTCTGCCTGAAATGCTATTCGGTACATCGGGAGTAAAATTTTTCAACACCCCTTCAAACATCGAAGGTCTAAAAGGTCTACCAGATTCAAGTTCAACGGTGTCTTTCTTCTTTAGGTTGGGCCCGCCGACCAATTCAAATTCACCGACAAACTCAGCAAATGCAGCTAATGTTGGATAACCGACCTTTAAATAAAAAGCAAATTGCCTTAAGCATCTACTGAATAATGCTATATTAAAAAAAAATATTGGACACGTAAAACAATATACCTTCGGAATGTTACTGGCTTTTAGTCTCTGTAAAAGCTGGACAAACGGAGAACAGGCTAAAAGGGCCTGCAACGTTGCATTTAGGAAGCATAAATTCCCGGAGTTGACCAAACCCCGAGGTAAAATATCTCGAGCATCCAAAACAGGGATATTTGTCTTCCAAGAAGACTCCTTATGATTTGCTTCAGCTGTAGGACCATTTAAGTTACCATTCGCCATTTTCGAGATAGGTTTTACGTCTATCTCACTATTATTATTATTGTCAGATACATGCAATGCACTGAATTTACTTCCGTTCACAATCTTTACGTCTCCACTAGACTTATTATGCAATGCATTGAATTTACTTCCGTTCACAATCTTTTCGTCTCCACTAGACTTATTATCAGAGTTGTGGACTTTTCCATTTTCTGACAGAGTAGGCAAGATTACGGTATTTGGTTTCTCGCTGGAAAAATTATTGCCCTTGTGGATATTAGAGAGCTGTAAATCGGGTATTGCACTAATACTACCAAACATCAATACTGGTGTGATGTTTCGGGGACTGTTTTTCAATTCTTTGATTTTGACGGGTTTTTGGGTAGTGGGCGGTGTCTCACTCTGCCAAGAACGGGCTTCGTCCTCAGTGAAAGACCCGAATAGGAACACCTACACAAACGAAGAAAGTAACATGTTTCAGAACTCAATGCATTTTCATAAGGTACAACAACAGCTAAAGATTGCCCTATGAAATATATATATTTTTAACCACCGACACTTCATCGAATATCCACAAGACATATGAATGTACCACCTCCAATGCAGGTTCACCAAATTAAACACATTATTTGATAGCATTACAAAAGCAAAATTTTCATTTCAAAATGCAACAAAATATAAAAGTCACTGTATTTCTAGTCACTTTTACTCCCAAATAGTACATGATACAAATAAACGGTAAGCAGCCAAGAAACCACATAAGTTCAGGATAAGGGTACATTTGATGGTGAAAAAAGATTGAATCTTTTCTATACTATTTCACTCATTACCACAACATCAGAGAACACACAAGTCCGAATGATGTCTCTCCAATAAAAATAAGCTAATTGAATAACATCTTTGAGGGTCAATGGTGAAAAAAAGATTGAATCTTTTCGGATTTATTTCACTCCTAACACAACTTCAGAGAACCCATAAGGCAGATAGCCAATAGATGGGGTTTCTTTTTGTATATTTGTAGTCAATGAGGGAAAAAAGATTGAATCTTTTCAATCCGGTTTCACCCCTTACCACAACATCAGAGAACCCATACAACAAAAAGCCAATGGACGGTAGATTTTTTAAAATCTTTGTGGTCAATGAGGCGAAAAGATTGAATCTTTTCGATCCTATTCCACCCATGACCACAACGTCAGAGAACCCATACGACAAATAGCCAATAGACAGTAGATATTTTAAAATCTTTGTGGTCAATGAGGCAAAAAGATTGAGTCTTTTCGATCCCATTTCACCTCTTACCACAACAACAGATAACCCATACAACAAATAGCCAATAGATGATGGATTTTTTTAAGTCTTTGTGGTCTATTAGGCGAAAAGATTGAATCTTTTCGACTCCTATTTCACCCCTTACCACAACACCAAAGAACCCATAAGCCAGAATACTATCTCTCCAATAAAAAAACAAGAAAACTAAGCTAACTGAATCGTCAAACAGATAATTCACTCAATATCCAGCAAAACAAAATGAGCAATAACCAATTAAAAAGCATTAGTTAATTAATCTTCAAACAACTCCAACTTAAAAACTATTCAGACAAGTGTACAAAGCAAATCCCTACTACAAAACTGAAACAAGTTGAATAATGACAATAACTAACGAAAAAACATACCTTCGAAGAGTCACCCATCGTGGTGAGGAGAGAGAAGTTAATTCAACTTGTGGGATATAAAATAAAGAAGAAAGGGTTTTATGGGAAATCTGCGGGAAGAAGCAATTAAGGGTTTATGAAGAGATTTATTTTTATCAAAGATGTTGGAGAAAATTGAATAAGACATGTGAGAGAAACAGAACGTTCAACAAAAACTTGCCTCTCAAGAAGAAGCATCGACCAATTAATTCGGTTTGGGAGAGATTTGAGGAGAGGTTGGTGGGATTTTTATTTTGTTTCCTTGTTTTTCTTCTGGTTCTTTGATTTTATATTATGTTTAGTTTAGGTTTAGGTTTTGCAGGTAGATGGGCTGTGTCTGTGTTGTGTGATTTGTGTGTTTATATATATTCTCAAATATTCTCTCTCTCTTTTTTTTAATTTTTTTTTTATATTTAAAGAAAATAGTATTCGAAGCAATAATGTATATGGGTAGGATAAATAAAGAAATCATTTTTTTTTTCTATAATTTCCACATTGTAAAATATGAAATGCTATTTGCGGTCACAAAATTGTTATTCGCGGTTTATAACAAAACTCCCCAAAACTTTCAATAATATCTGAAAACCCCTCAAAACTGCAAATAGCAAAAAAAAAAAGAAAAAAAAATCAAAAATTCGAAATCAAGCTTGAAGAAGGGTTGGGCTTCGATTTTTTGATGTAATTTCGACTCTTTTATGTGTAATATGCATTGGGTAGGTCGATTACGGAACTAATTTCATGTTAAAAAGCCCTACAAATCGATTTGTAGGGTTTTTTTTTCGCAAAAAAATGTTCCAACGCCCAAGATGGGCGTTCAACTATTTTTTTTTTTTTTTTTTTTTTTTTTGCACTTGACGCCCAACTCGGGCGCCCAAATGCAGCTTGCACGCCCAACTTGGGCGTGCACTGCATGAATGCGCGCCCAAGTTGGGCTTTTACGCGTTTAGGGGGGTTTTTGGATTTTTTGGGAAGTTTTGGGGTTTTAGAGAGATAAAATGTTTTTTAGGGAGTTTTGTTATAAACCGCAAATAGCAATTTTCAAACCGCAAATAGCAATTCCCTTGTAAAATACATTATTTCATTTTTGTTCTTTAAGTTTTGGTTTTTTATTTAGTTAAAATAATATAAAAAGTTTTCATAAAGGGAAGGGTAAATTTCGGACACCACTAAGGTAGCGCAGAATTACAAAAGCCCTCCTCTTATTTGGGTAAGTACAACAACTCAATGACTATGAATCTTTTTATTTGGGTAATTACAATAATTCATCAATCTTTTTACACGTTCATCCTTACGAGATCAAATTTAGTGGAATCTTCCAGAATATGTAGAATATTCTCTAATTTGTATTTGTTTTATTCCATTCGAGTTCCACATTAAAACAAGACGATCTTAAGATGTGTCTATTGATTTGTAACTATCAAATTGTAGTGTATCAGAAACTGCATTTTTCCACAAAACGTACAAACTAGAAAATATTACGCGAAATCTATTAAATGGTGTTGAATTTAATACCATAAGAATGAACTGTGTAAGAAGATTCATAGTTGAAGAAGTTTGTAATTAATTACCTAAACAAAAATGTGTTTTCGTAATTTGACATCGTAAATCGTAAATTGTACTTCAAATCATTCAATATATCAACCATAAATTCACATGTATGCATAAGTATTAGGGCTAAATACAGTTTCCACCCTTAAAGTATAGGGGTGGTAACACTTACCCCCTTAAAGTTACAAATGTAACACTTACCCCCCTCATTAATGAATTTAAAGGTAAAACTTTGACTTTGAATGATGTGGCATTTTTTCTTCCCAAATTGTCATTCTAGCTATTATATAAATAATGAATATGTAATAATAAAAAATTCGGCAACTTTGCAAAAACTTAATTTTATTATTTTAATATTGTAAATTTACGAATGAAAAAAATTGAATTTTAGTTTCATTTTTTTTTACCTTGTGTTCATTTGTAGCTAACAAATTTTAATTAGGATTTTATAGTTTATATAGTTATTTTAATGCGTATATGACTCTAATATAATCATCTCACTTTTTACTCTGAGAATCACAAAATGTATTCAAAAGTTAATAAGAAATTATAATTTAAACGTCTAAATATTTAAATATTTTTTTATTGAAATTTAAGTAACTGAAATAAATTTTCAAATCAATAATTAGTATAAAAAAATTGGACGTTTAAGTCTTGAATTTTTTTTTTTCTTGCAAATGTTTAACATATTTTATATATTTTTTAAAATATTGAGATTTTTAGTTATATTAGGGTCTATAGTAATTAAAATGTGAAGTTAAACATAAATCAAAATATTTTTTTAATAATAATTATATTTTATAAGATTTAGTTTTTGAAATATTATTGAAAATATATTATTATATATGCATCAATATAATAGCTAGAAGGATAATTTGGGAAGAAAAAATGTCACATCATTCAAAGTCAAAGTTTTATCATTAAATTCATTAATGAGGGGGTAAGTGTTACATTTGTAACTTTAAGGGGGTAAGTGTTACCAACCCTATACTTTAAGGGTGCAAACTGTATTTAGCCCCTAAGTATTATTCTCTCCTTTCCATATTATTTATTGTTTTCGGCTAGTTCACGCATATTAAAAACTAATAAATATGCATAAATTATATAAAAAAAATTAAAAAAACTATAATTAAGAAACAAAACTTTTTTTATAAAATAAAATGATTTTATTTTATTTAAATAAATAATAGAAGAATATTTAAACCTTTCTAATAAGAGAAAAAACTCTCTTCCCTGGCGATAACATTAACCACCGCTCATATATGATGGTCTGCAACTCCCTCTCTTCTTCCACTCTTCCAAACCTTATCCCTTTCACCTACCAACCTCCGGCGGCGGCGGAAAGCGGCGGCCGCCGCCGCCATGTCGAGCGAATTTTGCAATTGAGTCCCTGCAAACGGAGCCGGCCGAGAGGCGTTTCGGTGGTGACACGCGCTGCGCCCACCGCCACCAGCTACATATTCGCATTCATCTTCCCACTCTCTCTCCTCGCCGTCACCATTTTCACTTCTGTTAGAGTCGTCGATAAGCTCGACGAGAAGTACCTCGAAGAGGTGAGCAGTTACAGCATTTATATATATATGCCCCCCCCTTTTTTTTTTTCTGGTTTTTGATTTGATTTGAAGGTTTGGTGAAATTAGGGTTTGGTTAAATTAGGGTTTGGGGAATTTGTGAATTTTCATTACAGAAATTTGATGATCATGTAATTTAAATGCTATTTAATCAACATAAGAGGAATACAAGAGTTAAATAACTTATTGATTGACTTGCATTAGGAATTACTAAAGAATTACGAAAGGGTAAATTACGGCCACCCCTGGGATAAAGAAAATTACGAAAAACCCCATCCTGTTTGAGTATCGTAAGATGTGTCTCTTGGCTTGTAAATATCAGATTGTGGTGCATCAAAAACTGTATTTTTTTTTTGCACAAAACGCGTACAAGCTAGAGAATATTCCACGGAATATAAAAGAGATTCTGTTTAATTTGGCACCGTAAGGGTGGACGTATAAGAAGATTCATAGTTGAGGGGCGTGGTTGTAATTATCCAAACAGGAGGAGTTTTTTTCGTAATTTGACCTTACCTCATGGTTTGGTCGTAATTTACCCTTTCATAATGCATAGCAAAGCAGCAATTTCCGAGTGGCCGATTAGAAAATTGTCCCTTTTCTTAAATCGATACCGAAAAGTAACTTCTGCTAAATTTACTCTGTTGTTGAAGTTATTCTAAAGCTAATAATACATACATTTTCACACTTCAAAACGCCGTTTATTCGTGTGGCCTTTTGTTTTCGACTACCTTTTCGTAGTACTTCGAAGGAGATTTTATTTATGTATATTTATATCTTTCTATAACTCCTATCCTCAGATTTAGATGGCATGATAAAATGAATTACTTCGCAGCTCGTCCCACAAATGTCGATTGTACACATTTTTTTTTTTTTTCTTGTCGCAAAAGGGTTGTCGTAAATCTTGTGATTTCTTTTGTTAAGCTGAAATTAAATAGAGAGATCTTTATATTGCACTTTTTGTAGTATAAATTCACTCGAAAACCAATTCTTTGTACTGTGTCAATACAGAGTAATATTATGGTTCGTTTTCTTTTATTCGAAATTTCGAATTATAATTCTCATGAATTGAAACTTATTTGATTCATATTCCGAGAAATTTTAGTTCACAATTTCGTTTGTGTTATGGTGTAGCTTGCTGTGGACCAAGCAATATTAGAAGCAAAAGAGAACAGCGACGAAGTCTCGGAACCATCAGTGAAAGAAGCTGCACCAGCCCGAAGCAGAAATCGACCCAAACGAGAAGTTCAGCAAACATCTACTTAACCATGGTTGAGTTTTTGAGAGCCGAAGAAAATAGACAAGCAAGCAAATAGTTTTGTAATTTTTTAGTTGTTGTAAGCTTTATTTATATGCTTGCCAAAAAATCTTCCGACTGCGTTATTGTTTGTATGTTCGTGTATGTATGTAAGCTGAAAGAGAGAAATAAAATGGATATAATTCATAAATTTCCATGAAGTTGTGCAAACGAAACTATTACGATATCAAGTATACGCACACCGTAGAAAATCGATTAGATTTAATAACCGTAATTTTTTTTCAAGATACAAAATATGCGCAGATCTCCAAATACTACAACGGATGGATTGAATCGGTACCCAATCACATGCCGACACCTGTACAGGGACATTCGTATTCGAAAGTTTTATCACAAATATAAGGGCAAATTACGGCCACCCCTGAGGTTTGGCAAAATTACGAAAAAACCCCTCTTGTTTGGGTGATTACTCACACCCCTCCTTTCCCCTCCTTTTAGATATTTTTACATAAAATTTATGTAATTCAGTTATTTATCGAACCAAATCGTATATTTAGTTCGGTAAACGGTATGAAATGTTGGCGTACCGAAATTTCGGTTCGGTTTTACCAAATTAACATCCCAAATTTACCTCCGTATACATAGTTAACGGGGTGGCTGTAATTATCCAAACAAGAGGGGGATTTTCGTAATTTGACCATAACTCAGGGGTGGCCGTAATTTACCTCTTCATTCTTGGCTTATTGTGTGTTGGCGCGTTGCACCTCATAAGATTACATAATCTTATCTTGCGAACCAAACGGGGCCTTATACTTCTCCCTATCGAGCGTTAATATCATCTATTTATAACCACACCCTTCGCCTTCAATTTCGACTCCAAACCAAAGAATTTAATCCCGGACAACACCAAATCCGCAGTCGTCTCTTTCATGTGGTCAACAAGGAACTCATCGTAAACGATGACATCAGCTTCCGTAATAAACTTCGACTCTCTCATGCTCAAGAACACATTCCTCGCCTCCTCGATACTCCCATGCTTGCACATACCGTACACGACGGCCGTACAAGTAATACTGCTCGGAGTACAACCCTGCTCCGCCATTTCTCCCACAACCTCAATCACCTTCCTCGCGTCGTTCGATTTACAGACATGGATAATCGTCAGCGCGTACTTGAATTCCATTGGTCCACCTGTCACGTGGGCCAGGCAGTCTCGAACAAGCACCATAGCGGCATCCACCTCGCCGATATCAGAAAGCCCTTTCACTAGAGCATAGTAAGCATCGAGCGAAGGAACTGAAGACATTTCCTTAATCGTGTTGTACGTATTGCACGCCTCGCGTACGTCTCCGATTTTTATGTAACACGAAATCGCTATGCATAAAGTCGACGAGTCGGGCGCCAGGTCAGCATCTTTGAGTTCGTGGAAGAGCAATAATGCCTTCTTTTCGTCGCCGTTCTTGAAAAGGGCGTCCATTAGTATATTGTAAATCGGAACATTAATATAGTTACGTATTTTCAAGAACTCGAAAACTTCTAAAGCCGTAGCCACTCCGTCGTTCGTTTCTACAACGCAGGAAAAGAAATCGAGTAGACTTTCGTTTATAGAAAACCCCAATTTCTCCATTTGCTCGAGCAATTTACAAAAATCGTGCAATTTCTTCAACTCCGCGTAACAAATTAAAATCGGATTAACCGTATTAAAATCCGGCTGGAGATCCTCTCGGATTGCGGCTTGGAAAAGTTTATAAGCCCGATCGACCAATTTCGAATTGCACAAGCCTTTAATCAACGAGTTATATATCGCCAAATCGGCTCTATATCCCGAGTTTATCAAATCTTTTAGCAAATCACAAGCCGAGCCCACCTTCCCATCAACTACATACGCCTCGATTAAAGATCCGTAAATCGCCCTATCTATCAAACAATTCCTCCCTTTCATCTCCTTAAACAATTCGTAACCTTTATCGACAAATTTACCCTCGCAAAGCGCCATGATTAGAGTCGAATAAGCCATCGAATCCGGTTCAACACCATCTTTTTTCATTTCCTCCCACACCGTCAAACAACCGTTCAAATTTCCCTCCGAAACCAAAACCTTCACCATCGCCGTGTACGCAAACACGTCCGGTTTGCAGAGATTTTTCCTCATTCGGTCAACAAGGTCAAACATTTCGTCCAGACGCCCCGCCTTACACAAACCCTTGATCAAGATCATGTACGTAACATTCTCTTCCGACAGACCCTCCTCCTTAAAATCGCGATAAACGGACATCGCTAAATCGAGATGGTTCGTCTTGACCAACGCATCCATGATTCTGTTGTAGAGAAAGACTCTCGGCTTGACGCCGAATTTCTTCATTTTTTCGTAGACGTAGTGTACCCTGAGACCACGGTTCGAATCGGCGTGCATTCTGATCAAGATTTCGAACTGTTTCTCGGTAGGTGGCTTTCCTTGCATGTGCATTAATTCGGGCAATTGGTCGGCTTCTCGAAAATGATTCGACCGGTTTAGAAAATAAGCGTAGGCGTTGTAACACGCGAAATCGTGCTTGTAGCCTTTCTGTTTTCCTGTACATTATATAAGAAAGATTAATCAGACACATAAAATCCAAAATTAATTAACAAAATAAAAATTGATTCTTTTTTTTGTTTTTTTTTTTTTTTAATTTTACCAGCCCAATGAAAAAATTTGGAGGAGACTCTAGGATCAACATCGGGAAACTTCAAAACCTCAGTAACGAGCGTGGGCGTCACGCGCCGCAGGCGATTGAGCTCCTGCACGAGCTGAGGGCTCCACTGCTTGTGTTTTCTGAAAGCGTCGACGATGTACCTCGCAATTGGGGATAAATTCTTCGCCAGGGAAAAGAATTTCTCCGATGGGTCTTTTCCGTACGGCGGTTTCCGGTTGGCTTCGTCGTCGGGATCCCATTTCTGGAGGTCGAAGGGCTCGTGCGCGGCGGTGCGGCGGCGGAAATTCTCCGGGTTCACGGTTTGGCGGTTGGAGAAGAGGCCGCCGCGGACGGTGGGGCGGCTCTGGGTGGGTTTCCGGTGGCCGTAGAAGAAGTAGGGCTTGTTAGGTTTGGTTAGCGCCCCCGGCGGAGGAGACGGTGGCGGCATTTTTAGAGGTTTTGTCTAAAACCCCAAAATGGAGGGTGAAATTTGCATTCTTAGACGTAATGCGGTCTAATTGTGTAAATACAATTGGCCCCTACTTTTAACACAATTAGTACATTCGCCCCTTCACCTCTTAGTTACTGCCTCTTTTATCCCAATAATATAATTTGTACAGTAGAACATCGATAAATTAATAACCTCATTAAAATAATATATTAATATGTTTTCACGCTCCCAACTTGAAGAAAAAGTGTTAAAAAATACAGGGTTAATTTAATATTTCGACAACTTAATAGAATTTAGTTGATGCCGACTCTAATCATTTATAAAGGTTTAACTGTATAGGATAAATTACGGCGACCCCCTGAGATAAGGTTAAATTATGTAAAAAAACCCTCTCATATTTGAATTATTACAACAACCCTTCAACTATAATATTTTTACATATCCACTCTTATATGTTAAATTCAAAAATAATTATACATTTCGTGAAATGTTCTCTAGTTTGTACTATTTTTTTTGCAAAATTGCAATTTTCGATGCACTGCAATCTCACATTTAGAAGCAAGAGACACATCTTATTTTAAAACGTGGAGCTCGAATGGGATAAAACGGGTACATACTAGAGAATATTCCATTTAATCAAAAAGATTCCATAAAATTTAACACTGCAAATGTTACGTTTAGGAAGATACATAGTTGAGGGGTGATTGTAATTATCCAAACATGAGAGGTTTTTTCGTAATTTGATCTTACCTCAGGTGGCCGTAATTTTGGGTTTTTGGCACTTTGCACCCTTAAATTACACCATTTTGGCACTTTGCACCCTTAAATTACACCATTTGGCACTTTGCTCCCTTAAATTACAAAATTGGCAGATTGCACCCTTTAAACATAAATTGTTTGGCACTTTGCACCCCAAATCACTTTTGGCTTAGAAAAATTACCTGTAACTTGTTGAAAACCTGAAAGATGGGCAAATTCAAAATTCTCTAATTATCTATCATCTTCCCCCAATTCTTAATCATTGTTCCACCGTTTTTATCTTCATCCCTTTAATCAAAAAATCCTAAGCAAGATTTAGCCCTTTCTTTCAATGGTAAAATCGGTATAAATACTATACAATAATAGTAAATCGCTTTTTTTTTCTTTTGAGTATGAAAAATAATGTAACTGGAAATTTTAGGCCGAGCCTTCAATTTTTTTATAATAGTCAAATTCAAAATAAGGCTACTGAGAAGTTTATTCGGTGGTAGAAATGTGGTGCCTATTAGTTTCATGATGGGAAGATTTTTGTGCTCACATTGAATAGTTTGGATCTGCAAAATTATTAAAAAAATATACAAATGTTGCCATGGAATAGAACTTGATTTTCTGAAGGTGTGTTATCGGACTCTTGTCTATATATTCCCACCATTCTTGAGTTTTAGTTCCACATTTACATATTATGGCAAAGAGATACGGCTAAGAAGAATTTAGAATTTTTCTTATTAATAGAACATAATATAAAAATGGTTGAATGATTTTTTTTATTAATAGAACGAAATAAAAATGGTGGAACGATGATTAAGAATTGGGGGAAGATGATAGATAATTAGAGAATTGCGAATTTGCCCACTTTTCAGGTTTTCAACAAGTTGCAGGTAATTTTTCTAAGTCAAAAGTGATTTGGGGTGCAAAATGTCAAACAATTTATGTTTAAAGGGTGCAATCTGCTAATTTTGTAATTTAAGGGTGCAAAGTGCCAAAACCCCCGTAATTTTACACAATTTAAATAAATAAGGGTATTATAGTATTTATACATTGAAAATTTTAATTTGGTCTTGCACAAGTGAAATTAGTCTTGCATATAGCCGCAGCCTTTATATATTTATGGGCTAAATACAGTTTGCACCCTTAAACTATAGGGGTGGTAACACTTACCCCCTTAAAGTTACAAATGTAACACTTACCCCCTCATTAATGAATTTAAAGGTATAACTTTGACTTTGAATGATGTGGCATTCTTTCTTCCCAAATTGTTCTTCTAGCCATTAAATAAATAAAAATAATGAATATGTAATAATAAAAATTTCGACAACTTTGCCCAAAACTTAATTTTATTATTTCAATATTGTAAATTTATGAATGAAAAAAATTGAATTTTAGTGTATTTTTGTTTTATCTTGTGTTCATTTGTAGCTAATAAAAAGTTAACGATTATTCGAATTTTAATTATGATTTTATAGTTTATATAGTTTTTTTAATGCGTATATGACTCTAATATAATCATCCCACTTTTTACTTTGAGAATCACAAAATGTATTCAAAAGTTAATAAGAAATTATAATTTAAACGTCTAAATATTTAAATATTATTTTATTAAAATTTATATTTAAGTAACTAAAATAAATTTTCAAATCAATAATTATCATAAAAAAAATTGGCCATTTAAGCCTTGAAAATATTTTTTTTCTTTCAAATGTTTAACGTATTTAATATATTTTTAAAATATTGAGATTTTTATTTATATTAGGGTCTATAGTAACTAAAATGTGGAGTTAAACATAAATCAAAATTTTTTTTAATAATTATTATATTTTATAAAATTTAGTTTTTGAAATATTATTTGAGAATATTTTATTATATATGCATCAAT